TTGAGTCTGAAAACGTCCTAATCGTGTTGCATGAACATTTTTCCTGGTCTGAGACTCACGCTGAGGTCGGGTTCGGTGAGAGCGGAGCAGAGGTTCCTGCGCAGCGTGGTCCAGCTCTCGCAGCTCAGCACGTCGGACGGAGGAGCGCAGCAGAGAGCCTGCAGAGCCTCACGTCGCACCTGAACACATTCGCATCATTCAGCCATTTTGTTGGTTTATATTTCTTAATAATCTCATTGAATTTTATTTTTACGGAGCAAACTATCTGTTACAAGTCAAACTGTGGAGTTTTCTATGTTTTCTCTACCTCTTTCGGCTTGTTGGAGTCGAGTTTTTCGGCCAGAAGCTGCAGCTGCTCCTGTCTGATGAAGGCGTAGCTCTGGAAACATAAAACAATAATCATTCAAACAGGTTCAGTTATGGATTACAGGAAAAGCAGCATTAGATAGTGAGGACTTTAAGAGCTTAAATGTCTTTAAAGTCAGCGGTGACCCTCTGGTCACGTTCAGCGGCGATGAAGAAAAGCTTTTAACGAAAAACTGCAGGAGATTCTGCTGATGGAGTGGAAACAACAGAAAAGTCTCAAAAACACACAGGAGTGCCTTGCAAAGGTTTAGCACTTTAAAAAATGTTAAACTTTTTTTAAAGAGGATAAAACTACCCACACTGGTGAGGTAGCATGGGTAGTGGATGCAATGGCCCTGATGACATGATTCATTTTTCTTCATAATAAATTGCCCCAAAAGTTATTTCTATAACCTATGAAATTGCTGTTCTTTCCAAGTAATATAATAAACTAAGAAAACGTTGTTTAAGATCAATAAACTTTAAATTCTAACAAACATTTAACACTGGGACTGGAAGACAGTTTAAATATTCAAAATAGAAAAACAAAACGACCAATAAAATTAATTATGAAACAAAACTGTGATTTAAAAAACGGCTAGTTGAGACCAAAGAACCAGACAGAACTTTTATCATCTAGTTTTTGTAGAAAGAGAGAAATTAATGAATTATTTCAATTTATTATTTGATTAATTGATTTATTGCGACAGGCCTCGAAGCACATGGAGACTTTTTTCTTTTTAAAGCAGAAAAAAAGGAAAATCTTCTCACCAAAGTGTCAAAAACAACAGAAATGGTTTATATTTTAATATCACACTTTCTGCTTTCTATTTAATTTAATGGTAAATAAGACAATATTTCATTAACTTATGCACCAACGTAGACTTTTAAATCTGCTATTGTTTTTACATTATTTTAGAAAAAAACATGTTTTTGCTGCTAAGAAAATGTTAAATATTTGTTCAGTTTTTTTTTTTCAGGTGAGCCCAAAATAAATGAGTGAAGCGGTTTCCATACTTGCAATAAAGAAAACATGCAAAAAAAAAAAAAAAAAAAAAAAAAAAGGATCTACAATGATTTACATTTTTATTTCCAACAAAAAATCTGACTATTTTGTTTCTTTTATTAAATAATTTCATGCTTATTTTTAAAATTCAATGAAACATTTTGCGGTTTTAGTTTTTTTTAAAAAACACAAACAAAAATCAGTAACTGATCTGTTGTTTTGCGTCTGACCTGGTTGAAGGAGGAGTCGCTGTCTGAGCAGTTATCAGCGAACTGGCTGTTGGACTGGCAGCGTTCAATCTCTCTGTGCATCTCCTCTTTTCTCAGCTGGTCCTCGTCAAATTTGTTGATCAGAGTCTCTACGACCGGCATCATGGTGGCTTTTAACGTCTGCAGCATCTGTTGGTACCTGGAAGCAATCCGATAAATATCTCGACATTAATCAGTTCCAAACATTCAAGATAAGGTTTACAATTCAGAAAATTAAATTAAACTGTTTTCCAACATGATTACATTTTGTGTTTTGATTTATAACAAAATAATGCAAATAAAGTTTAGAGAATAATTAAGTTTACTGCAGGCTGGTGTGCAAAGATTTTTTTATACTATAGTACATATAATTTTACATTTTTGTCAACAATGGAGTGTTAGGATCAAAATCAAAATGATTTATTTGTCTATTATGAGAATAAAGTCATAAAAACATGTAAAAACAAAAATCATACAACAAAATTACAATAAATGAAATATAATAATAAAGTGACAATACAGAAAATAAAAAATCACAACAGAAGAATAAAGTCATACAACAATGTTGAAATAATAAAATACTAGTATTTTATGATAGTATTAGGTTAAGTAAGTCATTTATGAGAACTAAGTAATAAGTAATTTTATGAGAACTCCTCCACAAAAAAATTATTGAACATTAAAATGAGGAATTGTGAGCATTTAGTGAAGTTACACATTTTATAAATAAGGAGATACTTTTACCAACAGCAAACAGAATGTTGTGATTTGCACTCACTGAGCCGAGTCTCGAGTTCTCCGGGTCACGGCGTGAACTAAGGTGTCCTGTCCGGGTCCGACTGCATGCTGTCCTCCACTGGTCAGGTTCTGTAACTCATCCTCCATCACTGGACCCAGACAGCTCTCCACATGCTGACGGAGGTATCTGACGAACTCATAGCTGAAAAACAAACAAATACCACAAATTCCACCCCTTGTGTACGAATTTAAACCCAAAAACAACAACCAGTGCAGAAAATCAAACACAATATTATATTATCTGATTATCTGCAAACAAATATTTCGAAGAACATGAGTCAACTCTCAGATAGGAGTGTCTGACTAATGAAGTTCTAATTTAACTACTGAGATACATAAAATTGCGTTGTAATATAGTGACAGTCTGTTTGTTTTTTGAAGTTAGCGTGTTTCCATTAATCAAACTTATTTGGATAGTTCAGTGATTATTGATGACTTACTTGTGGAAATTCTTGTCGGTCTCCTCCAGGTGGAGGAGAATCTCCTCGGCACATTCAGTGGACGGCGCTCCAGAGATCCTGTCGCTGATGCTCCTCAGGAGCTGCGTGAGGAGAGACTGGAGTTGCAGCTCATCGACAGCAGAAAGCTGTGACATTGTGGCAGCTGATGGGTGAAAAAAATAATTAAGAGATCCAATCTGCATGATGTTTATCAGAACACTGTGGGAAATCTAAACTTAAAGGGGCAGTATTTTGTATTTTCCTTTACTTTATTATTATTTATTAATATCCATTTTGGTCTTTAAAGTACCAAAATTTCCACATAATCTTATGCTCTGGTATATCTAATGATGTAATGATTTTTTACTCTTGAGTAATTTCTACTTTTTACTTTTACTCGAGAAAAAGTATGTTGAAGTAGTGCTACTCTTACTTGAGTGCTATTTTTGTACTTTACCCATAAGTATGACAAACAATAAAATATTTCAGATTCGAAAAAATCTCTAAACATAATGTAAAGAAAGTCTGAGTTGTGATCCATAAGAACAGGGATTCAAGAAAACCTTATTTTAACCACAGATTTGTCTGAAAGTGCATTTAATTACAGATTGATGAAGGTAATTACTGAATGGAGATTTCTAGGTTCTTCTAAAGATGTGCTGTTAAGACATTGCAAAACTGTTTGAAAAAGTAAAGAAAAACAGTACATTAGACCATCTTTTTGACAGGAGAATACAATTCAGATCTATTTGTATATTGCAGAATCTGCTAATGAAAAAGTCTTTTTGTATTTCTTATTTTAGCATTTCGTCTTAAACAAGAAGGGAAACGCAGTGCTGTTACCAGCAGCACAAATCAGATAGTGTATAAATTTAGTTATCAGTTTCTTTTCTCTCCCACAAACACTAATTAACCTTCGGGGAAAAGAATACCAATAATTTATGTAAAAGTTGCTCTACTGGTTTCTAATTTGCTAAACACACTAGAACAAAGTTGGTGTTTTCTACACTTTCTATTTACTTTTACATTTGATAAAAATTCAGTTAATATCATAGTTTGGTTTATTAGCAATTTTACTTTATTTAAAGGTGGTGCAGCTGGCAGCACTGTTACATTGCAGGTCCTGGGTTTGAATCCTGGCCTGTCAGACCAAAGTTAATCAACTCAATGAATAAATAAAGCATTAAGTAAAAGCATGTGACAACTTCAATATTTTTTTCTTGTAATAAATACGTGTTTAAACTTCTGAATGATGCAACTGATCACTTAATCATTACATTGCAAAACAAAAAAATGTAATTCATATCTTAAAAATAAATGTAACATATTAGAATAAGAACGTATACCTAAAAATATAAACCATGTCAAAATATCTTAATAATAATGATTGTTAAGCTGATGTTTGTCTAACTTTATTTTTGCACGCCTCTTTGTTGTAATCACTGGGACATTAATTGCTTAATTGAGCCACTAATTTATTCTGCAGTCATATTTATGAGTGGGACCTGCTTCCTTTTACAGCACGAAACGCATTTAACACAGTTCAATGAAATCCAAGCCCATGTATCACCCAGTAGACTAATAAATCTTGATATGTTTGTTTATATTATTAATAAACTGTGAAGCTAAAGCTACAGAATTTGACCTTTCTTCATCAGCTAAATGATGCTAATTGCTACAACGTGGCTAACCCAGGGCGAAATTGGCTACATTTCGCTAAATTAACAGTTAAACACTGCAAACCTTAAAGCAGCACCTTAAAGCAGAACGACATCTATCACTGACGTATGAAAAATAAGGCACATTTACCTTTTAAAGAGCCAGAAATCGCCTTCTAGCATCACTTGCCATAGACAGCCGTGTCTCTATGGAAACGGCTACCCCTCGTTTGGGAGGAGCGTTGTGTTGCGTTTAGAAACCGCCGAAAAACACAAATATTCACCTATAAAATATGACTGGTGTGATTCAGTCTCTAATGTAGTTGAGATTCACATGTAAATAAAAAATTAATTTGTCTCCATTTTAATTGTTTATAAAAACATGTAGTTTTACTTTACTAAAGTAACTCGCTGATCATTTGGGTAAAATCTGGCGGATTTTCTTAGGGATTTGAAAGCAGCACGGCTGACGTATGATGTCACGTGACCTAATGTTTTGTTTCTGTTCCGGATGGCTTACATGACACTTTCCTACTTGCTCCAGCGTGTGTAAAAACACAACTTTGGTGAAAAATTGACTCGATACGAATTGATGTTTTATTCTTCTTTCTCGTGTACTTGTTAGCTTTACATCCAGGCGACTCGTCGTTGAGTTTTAACTACATAACAATAAAATAGCGTGTGTAGCATGGCGGCGGTGGACAGCTTTCACCTTTTGTACAGAGAAATTTCTCGGTCTTGCAGCTCTCACTTTGAGGCTCTGGCCCTGATCGGAGCTCTGTACGCGGCCAGCAGAGCGGTTGTCCTGTTGAGGGATTCCTGCGCGGTGGCCCGGGTCCATTTCCTGCCGCGGATGATGCCCAGCGGGAGGCTGGCCCAGAGATACGGGGACTGGGCTGTTATTTATGGTGAGAGAAGACAACAGCAGGCTCGCATTGCAATATAACAAAAATATTTCAGCATGAGGAAAATTTAAGCTTTTATCTAAGTGGTGAAACCAGAAAGGGAATATTTTAACATGATTTAAGGTACTAAAATTACCTTAAAATATATAAAATAGACATGCTACATTTAGTGGTAGTGTTATAGCCTTCTTTCAGCCAGCTGACTGGCAGTACTTAGCAACATATAAGCAGAAGGAGTAACAATTTATTACTCTATTGTCATACAGGAAAGGCAAATTGTAACGTTATTATTATTATTAAAACTTAGATTGTAATTATGACTGTTAATTATTTTTTTATAAATATTGAAAAGTATCAAAATGTAACTTCTATAAAGAATATGTTTGACATATTTGTTAAAACTGTTACCATGTCGTAACAGTTTGTGAGAATAATAATCTGTGAAAAGATCCTTCCTCCCTGTCTGAAGAAATTGCACCAATCTGACCAAAAACAACCAATCAGAGGCAGGAGGAGGGTCTTAGTGCTGTCAATCACTCTCAAATACTCATCGCTAAATGTGCTAAGGGAAATTAAATGTTAATTCATAATTCATCAAAATATATCTCTTGTAGCAGAATTTATCAAAAAACTAAAAATATTATCTCTTGCTGTGAAATCAGTTTTTTTCCAAATCCAAAGCAAGAATATAAACGTTTTCCATTAATAAGTAATAATATTGTCTGACTTTGATTTGAAAACCAAAAACAAGGTTTTTATTGTTTTCTCTGCTGGCAGGTGCAGCTGAGCCTGTAGCCGGTGCTTATGCAGAGGAGCTGGCTCGAAGCGGCATCAGCATCATCTTCATCACTCAGGACGGCTCCTCTGTAAGAAACGCCGCTTCCTTCCTCTCCCAAACCTACGGGGTGGAGACCGCCGTCGTCACCACCGACTTCTCTCTGGGCCAAGCGGCGGCCAAACCTGTCACAGAGGCCTTGAGGGGTAAAGACATTGGCTTCCTGGTGAACTGTATGGACGAAACGTCGGCTTTGCCCCGGAGCCTGATTGAAATTCCCGAGCAGGGCGTGTTGGATCGGGTGAACAGGAACGTCGGCGCCGCCACTCTGATGGCGCGACTGGTGCTGCCGGGGATGGTGGAGCGCAGCAGGGGGGCGGTGGTCAACATATCCTCAGGCGCCTGCTGCAGACCCCGACATGGAAGAGTGACGCTCTCGGCCTTCACTGTAAGATAAACACCTGTGAGATGCATTGATATAACAACAAGAAACCAATCCATCCATTAACTTTATCTTCACTTTCTCATATTTGACCTAAAGTCACTTTTCCCTCCATTACAGGGATACCTGGATCATTTCTCAAGAGCTCTTCACTTTGAGTACAGCGACAAAGGGATCTTCATTCAAAGTCTGATTCCTTTCCAGGTAATCCACTGATGTGGCAGTAATTCCATTTTAGTTTAATTTAATTTATTTTTAACATGTTCTGTATTTAACTTCCTGGTTTTGTTTGGTGTTTTAATGTTTCCACCTGATTCCTGTAAAGTCTCTGAGTGTTTAGCAAAGTGATACACAAATTAAATGTATTATTACTTATTATAACTAAACCATATTTCACCTTTTTACAGATCACAGAGAGAGTTTCAGGGTTAAATCCTTTATAATTTATCATACTGAACATTTTAAAACATCTGCAATTTGAGAATTGTTGTTTGCTTCTATAAACAGAATGAAATATGTTGCAAAAGTATTTAGAAATGCAAATATGTCATTGTCTTGCTTCTAAGTCTAAGAATTTCAAGACAAAACTCAGAAATTTTGAGATTAATCTCAGAAAAATTCTAGAAAAATTTGGACAAACTCAAAACTCAGAAAAATATTCAAAAGTAAAAAAATGTACATCTTTAACTCAGAAATTTCAAAGTTTTTTCTAGAAATTCCTGAGAATGATACCTATGTAAAGGTATGCCATACTTTGCAGTTTGTTTTTTTCTTTTTGGTTTGATTGTAACATGATAAAATGTTACTTAAGGGGTATAATATGCTTTTATTTTCTTTACATGGCTCTGTATGAATTATAACTATCCTCTTTTTCTGTTTGTGTCACTTATAAAAAAGATTTTTTCAATTTAAAAAATCTTTTTACCCAGAGTAAACCCATTGATAAATGTCTAAAGTTTTATTTTGCTGTTTGTGTTTCAGATATCGTCATCATCCTCAGCACAGGGATGGTTTGTTCCGAGCCCGGAGGTTTACGCTCGTCATGCCGTTTCCACGCTGGGCGTCTCCAGCAGAACCACGGGTTACTGGCCTCATACACTCCAGGTTTGCCTTTTACATCGTTGTTATTCTGGTTTCTATTGGAGTCATGATTCAATCATAAATAAATCTAAAGCGTAAATTTAGTTAGTTTAGTTTTGTTTTCTGTTTCTTTACAGTACGGACTCATGAAGTGCATTCCGGAGTGGATCTGGATCTTCGGGTCGCGGGTTTTATTCAGCTAAGCTGAGAGCTGAAAAGCTTCTTACTGGATCATGTTACACAGAATTTAGTTTCACTTTCTTCTGTTGTTATTTATTGATACTGTCCTGAAATAAACAAATAAAACTTATTAATTAACTAGGGATAATAGATGATCATTCCTCTATTTAAAATGATAAGTTAATGTGAAATTCTGATCAGAAGAATTCAAGATAAAAGACGGAGCCAACAGCACTACGGCAGCCCTGTGTGACCAAAACATGCTGGTTCTGAGTTTATGAGGAGAACAGGTGTTTACGTTTTGATTTGCTTTCTGCGTTTTTAAACAGGTTAAATAGATTTTGAAGCGTTGCAGAGCGACGCTTTGTGTGCTTCCTGCTTCCATAGACTCAGATCAAACCAGGATTTGGTTCATGAGAAGATGTAAAAATCCAGGATTAAACCAGCAGAGATCAGAAAAACAGGCACCCATTTTAAATAATGGATGAATGTATGAGTGGATGGACGAATCTGGATGGATGGATGTTTACAGTATTTATACAATAGAACATGGTTTAAACTCTGTACATATAAATATTTTATATTTTCTTTTATCTATCCAGATAGAAAGAAAATTTATCTGGAATTTTCAATTACGAATTAAAAATTCGTAATTGAAATTTTCAATTACGAATTGAAAATTCAATTCGTAATTTTTCCCGTCTGCTTCGTTATTCTGTCATAATTATCTGTTTCTCATCCTGCAGAAACAGATAGACAATAATAAAATTTTGAAATGAAGCTGCAATAACAATAGTAATAATAATTTATTAAACATCACTGAGTTAAGCCACTTAATGTTTCTCCTTTATGCAAACATTTTTTCATAATTAAAGCCGTTCCTCCTGCAGAATGCTGTGTCAGTAACATGAACTCCATGTTCTGTTATTGTGTCTCTAGCTTATCAGTGAGCAGAGGCCAGAGCGAGTGCAGCTTTTTTCAGTTCTGCTGTGAGCTTCAACCCGAAGGAACATAAAATGAGTTTCTACATTTAATATTTGTGGGTTTTGATTTTCAGCTGGTGTGATTATGGCTCAGAATTTGACCAATAAATCTTTTTCCATTCAAACATCAAAGTCGGAGTCATTGCTGTGTTTCATCTGACTGCTGCAAACTCCTGTTTTATTTTTAGCATCTACCTACGCAGATTTAATCCGATCAACATATTGTTGGCCAGAATGACACATCTTTTCTGTGTTTAAAATGGCAGGTTGGTGTCAATGATTCACATTGAGGAAGCAGAGTTCAGGTTTCTCTGACCCGAATCGGAGCGGCTCCTAACCCTCATAAACAAACCTGAGCTGCACATAAACATGCAGCTGCAGGATCGACCTCAGAGACCTGTGATGTCACAATCTGCATCAACATGCTTCAGTGTAATCTGTCGAACATTAAAGAATTAGTCTGGATGTCAACAGAACTCTATTAAAAATGTTCTTGCTTTTCAGTTTTGTTTCACATATCTACCAGTTTTATATACATATCATTGCTTTACACAAGTTAAATACGAAACATGGTAGCGGCAGCATCATGCTGTGGGAATGAAAACTGGCTGATTTAAACTACATGTAGGCCACAAAATTCTTTGAATTAAAATTTAAAAAATTAGTTTTTTGTGATTTTTTTATTTATTTGCGCAACAATATTTAATCTAATTTGTGAATCATTAAAGATCCAAGAACATAAAAACAGCTTCGGACCACTTTTTTCTATTTTGTTTGCCAAATTTTTACCATCCTTGACTCATGGTCAAGGGACGAACAAAATCATTTCAAGGGCCACAAATGGCCCCCACGCCACACTTTGGACACCCAAGGAATGGTTTAGATCAGAGTGACTTACAGGTCATCCAACATGACTGAGATTTTTCTCAATGTTTCGACCTTTGGAGACAGAATACAAATGCAAACCGTACTTTTTAGTTCATTTTTTAAATTGAAAAACAGGCTCTATGTCACAATTATGCTATAGTTTGTGACCAAAATAATAAAAAAGTTGGTTTTACAAGGGAAAGTTGAATAAGTGGGAAAAGCTTCATGTTTCTGTTGCTAACTTTCAGCTCTGGCTCCAGTGTTGTGGTTTGGACGGCGTCCTTCCAGATAAGCCAGCGAATTAACCGTGACACAGCGTCTTCTTCACTCTCTCTTCTCATCCTTCACAGCCGCATTCACTCTTCATCCACATTTCCTCCATTTTTACCGTTTCTCCACCAGGTGAGTTGATTTTCCCTCTTTACAGAAAATTTAATTAACTTCTTAACGATCTCTATCTGCATTTCCTATAATATATTAAGGCTATAAATTCATTTTTATGTGCATACGTCATTCTAAACATCCAAAAAAAAGCAATGAAATCTGTTTAATTGAGAAAAGACTTTATAAAAGTATTATATGAAACTTTTAATAAGTTTAATATAATACTCAAGACTTGCTTCAGGTTTGAGGGTTCAGCAGATTAGTGTGTTTAATATTTGAAGCCTGCAGCTGTGGATTTATCTGCAAAGTTACCAGGCAGCGAGAAATGATAGAGGCTTGACCTTCTGATTCACTTTTTACCTACTTACAGAAATCACAGCAAATCTAAAAAACAGGTACAACTTCACAAACATCCTGAAATTAAACCTTTTTTGGGGGTTTATATTGTAATGTTGTAAAATGATGGTTGTATAAAATTCAATTCAGAGTAAAACTATTAGAAGACTTTTTAAAATCACACAAAGCTTCATATTTTTTCATGTTTCTGGAAATTTGTTGCCTTTTTTAATTTTATATAAAGTAAAACATACAACTTTGCAGATAAGAAGATAAATATGTTTCTGTGAAGCTAAAATGGGGCCGTAAAATTTGTTTTTACAAAAACTGAAACTGAAAAAGTTTTGAAAATGGAAAAAAAAAACAACAACATTGAATTAGAAAAGGTGTTCAGAAAAAATTTTCTACACCACAAAGATTTTTGTTTCAAATCTTTGTTTTCAATTTGACATGTTTTGGCTTCAGATCAAACTTTATGACCCTAATTTACCTCCATACATGTTTTTCTGTGGGATGTTAAAATTTATAGAATTATTAAAAGTAAATAAAAAAAAAAACAAAAAAAAAAAACATAGTTTCCAAGTTAAAGACAGAAAAATAGATCTAAAATAAAACCACTGACATTTTTCTGTTGTGGACAATCAATTTATAACATAAAAGATGCTTAAACCAGCATTTATTATTAAGTTTATATAAAATATATTTATATTATTTAACTAAACCAGTTATTAAGAGCCACTGCAGAGCATCCAAAGAGCCACAGGTTGGACATCCTTGGTACAGGTGATGAATGGATGAATGGATGAGTGAGTGAATGGTGTTTCTGTGTTTCGTGGGTTTATTGTGTCTCTGGTGCAGAAGGCGGTTGAGCTGCCAGCTGAAATGGGAGAATGGGACTTACTGGGCCGGCTGCTGGAGAAAGTGCAGAACCACTCCACCGTGATCGGGAAAATCTGGCTCACCGTTCTGTTCATTTTCCGGATCATGGTCCTGCAAACCGCTGCTGAAAAGGTCTGGTCAGACACAGAACATGGAAATAATAATAAAAAAATAAAGTATATAGTTTTCCAACTCAATTAATCAATTCATCACACTTGAAAGAGTCTGTCAGTTCCAGAATATCTAAAAACACAATAACCTGGTTCTTCCTACCCAGGTTTGGGGCGACGAACAGTCCGACTTCATCTGTAACACTCAGCAGCCGGGATGCGAGAACGTCTGCTACGACGTCGCTTTCCCCATCTCTCACGTCCGCTTCTGGGTCCTTCAGATCATCGCCTTGGCAACCCCAAAGCTGCTGTACCTGGGCCATGTCCTCCACGTGATTCACCTTGAAAAGAAGGCGAGGTTCTGCTAAACCGACTAATTATGAGGAACAACAGTGGACCATGCTAACGAAAGCATTAATCATTCATATCAGTCCACTAACGCTAAACCCACATGGTGTTTAGTGGACGCTAATGTCAAAGCACTAAGTTCATCCATGTTGATGCCCACAGTATAGATTTATTCACATCTTCACCCCCAACAGGCTCAAATTCGTCACTTCCTGTCTGCGTCACAGTTTCAGTTTTATACTTGTTGAGTATTGCTAACTGTGCTGCCAACTTGTTTGCTGCGATACATTATTATAATCAATGTTTTTTGCAGGGTGGAGAACATGAGGGAAGAAAACTGAACTACTCAGTAAACAGTTATGGCTAATTACTTGAATAGAATAATAAAGTTGCTAACCAAAACTTTAACACAGATGTCAAACTGTATACAGCGCAAGTTTTACTAAACAGTCAATAGTATTGAATTTATGTGTAAAATTTGATTTATGTGTAAAATTTGATTTAGGGGAAGCTAAGTGTCCTAAACTTTTTTAAGATCAGTTTTTTTAAGTTTGTTTTTAAGTGCTAAAACAAAAAAATTGTTCCACTGCTTTCCTTTTGGCTCCTCTGCTTCTAGGAACCACTTGTTGTTCCTAGTAACTTATCCCAATATCTCGCAATTCTTGAAAGTCCCTAATTTGATCAGATGTTAATAATGAACTGTATTTCTGGAGGCTTTTGGCACCAGAAAATGTCTGACTTTCACTCATCCTTCTGACATTAGATGAAGGAAAGGATGGAGAACCAGGCAGAGCTGGACGACAAAGTGCGTCTCTTCCTCAGGAGGGCCGTCAAGGTTCCCAAGTACACAAAAAGCAGTGGGAAGATCAGCATCCGCGGTCGCCTCCTCCGCAGTTACGTCCTGCATCTCATTGCCAAGATTGTTCTGGAAGCCTTGTTCATTGTGGGTCAGTACCTTCTGTATGGTTTCACCCTTATGCCCCGGTACGTGTGCTCCCGCTCGCCATGCCCTCACAAGGTGGACTGCTTCCTGTCCCGACCGACGGAGAAGTCCGTCATCATCTGGTTCATGCTGGTGGCGGCCGTCGTCTCGCTCGCCCTCAGCGTCGCAGAGCTGCTCTACCTGCTCGTGAAGGCGGTGAAGGAATGCACGGCCAGACGGCAGGACTACACCGTCACCCCGGTGACGCCCCCGAGGTCGAAGAAGAAAGCTTTGCAGAAGCACAGCGAGGTGATCCAGAACTGTGTCAACCTGGATCTGGAGCAGCAGGGGAGGAAGTCAGGGATGAACGGGATGGTAGGCGCCGTAGACGTGGCGATGGAGAGCAGCTTTGGGGAGGTCCAGATCTGAGCCATGAATCTGCGTTTTGTTTGCGTCAGCAGAAAGGGACGTCTTGGTGAAGTAAATAAAGTGGGGATGGAGTTCACCATCTTTTTAGACTTAAATGAGTAAAAATGAAACGTCATTATTTTAAAGGGGACCTATAGTGCTTCCTTGAACAAGTGGGAATGGGTCTCTGGGCTGAACCAAACATGTCTGTTTACATACACATCAAATTTTAGCTTTTTCAGCTCCTTTCAGAATGAGCTGTTTTTAGGGCTCTGTCTCTTTAAATCTGCTGCTGGCCACGCCCCCCATCTGCAAGCAGAGGCGCAACTATAAAACCGTAGATCATCACATCCTGAGTCCAAACTAAACCCGACAAACATGCCGGACTTCTACTTGGTTGCTAGGTAACAGGGCTGGGCTCAGCCGGGGTTGCTCGGTAACGGCGAAGCGACTCAAGGTTGTGATTTAATAATTGTAAAGTTTTTGAAACGGCTCATTTTCCATACATCAAAAAACGTATTGCAAGAAAATGGCTGTTCTTCTTTTGAAGAACTTTGTTTTCAGAAGCAGTGGAGACCCAAACAGAAGTGAATTTTTTCATAATAGGTCCCTTTTACTACAAAGATATTGACATTTTTTATCTCAAATGTAATTTGAGATAAAAACACCTTTTTTCTGTCACAATGTTTTTCCCAGAACTCTTCACAGGGCCTAGTTTTAGAACAAAATTATTTTATTGTTTTAAAAGAGAAGTGAACTGTTTATTTGCATCGTTTAATGTATTTTTAATCCAGCTATACCGAAAAAAATATAGTTTCTTTTCTGAAAGATGAACTTTGCTTGAATATTTTAGATGTTTGCCTTTTTCTTGAAACTTTTTCTGTGATGAGTTAAAGTTTCCTGAGTTCGTCAGACGTCCAAGAAAAGTTTCTGGTTTTGATGTAAATGTCTTTAATCTGTATTTTGTTTCTGTTGTTTCCCATAATGTGTGCCAGTATAGTTCATCAGCACACATTACTCATCCTTCGCCCTCTAGTCACGCGGTTCCTCTCTTCATCCTGGGTCAGCGGTTTTTCTTTGCCACTCAGTTTGGGTGCACAGTTAGTTCTGGATTCTGTTGCTTGATAAAGACTTTTACTTCTCTAAACCTCTTGCCTCTAGTGATGTCGTTTTCATTTGGTTCTTATTTCTATGAAAAGTTATTTTTTCTAGACAGGAGGGCATAGAAAGCACACGCTCATGCATTTAAAATTTTCTTCCACAAAACAAATATTACACACTGTGATTATCTAGTAATCACTGCGTTGACATTCAGTGACTCATAGTAACTCATACTTGTTGTTTCCTGTTTGACTTTAACATGAATTTTGGTGCAGTTTTCTGCACAGCGTTGCTTTCATGACCCAGCTGCGGCCGGGTTTTGGCCCGGCCTTTGTCTTAGTTTAGAGACGAGTTTATGGACAACATAGGTCGTCCAATCGCCATGTGAAGTAGATTTTTCTTTAATGAGAAAATGTTTTATTTGCATTATACAGTGTTCTTTTATGTATCACACAAATGTAATTGTATCATAGTCAAGATGTTTTTCCGTGCAGCTGCAGAGGGTGTACAAACTAACTGAACAAGATGTGTCTGCTGAAGTTTCCCAGTCTGGGAACTTGCTGATTTTCCCGTGGCTTTCCCTGCATGGAGATAGAGTGTTTAGTTTGCGCATCCTGTAGACATGATAGTGAAAAAGCGTACAAAGTTGAATTGTTTTTGTTTATTTGGTCCTTGAAGATTAAATCTCCGCCTCTGTGAGCTGAGAGAGGTGAATAAAGCAACTATGTAACTGAGTTCGTTAGAGCAGATTTTGATTTCCGCCTAATGCAGTGTGTTTTTGCTCTCTGTCTGTAGATGTATTAAAGATTGTTTTTGCTCCCTGACTTTTGTCTAGATCTCAGTCTCTGAATTGTGCGCCTCACAACCACCCCTCCACCACCGTGCTTCTAGCTATGAGTCATTTATTCTCATTTTGTGCCCTATTGTGTCCAGAAACAGCACTTTACCTCTCCTTTAAAACTCTCGCTCTGTCCACGTTATCCCAGAAGTTCTGGTGTGTTTTTCATAGTGACTGATGTTTTTAAATTTTTTTTTGTGTGTGTGTGTTTTTTAAGTTTTGAGATTGGCAGCTGGTAGTTTTAGACATAACTTTATTTATTGAGCAATAGCATTTGATTTTCTGATGCTGTTCAACCTTGGCTTTGTGTAAACTGGTCAAATTGATGATGAAGAGTTTTGAATTATTGGCTTAGTTTTGTTTTTTCCCCATATAGATTTTATAGGTTATTTTTTACTGTTTAAATCAGGAGTTTCCAAACTTTATGTCGAATGGGCCAAAATTGTCAGTTTAAACCATTTATTTTGGGTTAAACCAAAATAAATAAATGAATAAATAATGTGGATTTTTTTGTGTTTTTGATCAATTTAGAAGATTTGTAAGCCTTTTAAAGAACACAATAAGTTAAAATGCATAAATTTGTACAAATAAATAAGTGTCTTCTTACTGTATTAAGAACATTAAGACATTAAGAGAATGTATTTATATCTCTAAAAAAGGGATACAAAAAACTAATTCCATTGTTTAACTCATCTGCTTGAGTCCTAAAATGGTTCTGATCTGAAACAGAGATTATAAAATAAAGATTATTAGGCCTAAAAATTAGAAGACTTTTTTTTACTTAAGTAAATTTATTTTAAAATGGATGACTGGACCGATGATTGAATGATTGCAAATATATAAATATCCAAACCTTACAGATTACAAAAGCAAGTTCCCAGAAGGGGAGGAGGAAGAATGTGTCACTGTAAGGAGTGAATTACTAAACTGATTAATTTCGTTGAAAGTTTTTTTTATTTTCAGTCTTAAATAACATTTCGGAGCACAGTCTGATCTAAACATTTTAACTTTAAAAACACGTTGTGTCTTTAAAGTTTCTCGTGTTTTGTTCTTTTATCACAAATGCTTCAGATCATCAATGTGGAAAAGATCAATAAACTGAAAATCAATCTGTTACATCTCTGTGGGAAAATGCTGACCCTATCTTCTTAATGCTTTTGTTCAGACTTTGACTAGGCCACTCCAAACCGTCATTTTGTTTTGCTTTTAAGGCAATAAAAGGCATACCTATTGGTGCAGTGGTGCTCTAGAGGGGTGGGGATGAAGGGGCCAGGGCCCCGTCTTCAAAAACACTATCCACCCCATCAGCCCTCCAAAAGAATCGTGTCTTCAAGGAAGACGTAAATGTAGACCCCAATAAATTCATATATATGTATATATGAATATGAATTTGTTTTCTTTGAGGTCTGAAAGCACTGCATCTTTTTCCTTATTTTGACTATTTCTAATTTTCTGTGAATAAGTACTAAATTTTTGCTTTGAATTTTGGAGACATGTTGTCAGTCGCTCAAAGAATAATTATTTTTTATTTTTTATCCTTGTTGAATTATTATACTGTCCCTTAAATGGAGAAAATGATGCCTGTTTTAGATGTTGTTCTGGGTTATTTTGTGACCTGGAGACGTCTTAAATGGAATTTTGTCATTTTCCATTTGTTTTTCATCTTTTCATGATATTTTTATTTTTTAGATTTTGGCATTATGTGTTGTTTTTTGAGAGCTTTTAACCTACTTTGTCATGGTGTCAGCCACATGATACCTAAATAATTTTTTGGATTCAACAGCTTACAGAGCCACCATGCTTTGGGTGTAACATGTGAAATTGACCCAAAAATGGGATTAGTCACAGTTATTCATGATTTAACACAATTGAACTTTCACATTGAGTCTTGCTTAGCTTTTTGCCCTCCAGTAAATTGAATAAAAACATCTTTTGGTGTTGATGAAGTGAAGCAAATCCAGAGGAAATAAAAATAGTTAATTAAATAATTAATCTGCAATTTTAAAATAAATATTACATCATAATAGTTTAAAAGATTACCACACCAAACATCCAGTCTTTCCAGCAAACTTAAATTTGGGCTTCAGCGTTGTCAATCATTAGGCGCTCCTACACCCAGCTTAGTCTCACTTCATTTTTTCTATCTTTGCTCTCTGACGGTTACAACGTGACATAAAGGCCAGATGCATGTTGCGTAAGTTGATCCCTCATGAGTGCTGCTGTCCTCACCCAGCACAAAACTCCAAGGTCCAACCATAGTTAGTGATCGTTCTCCAGCAGAGACAGTCCTTTCTGACCAGGTCAGCAGGTAAGATGGTTCTGTTTTCACCTTTTTCCTGCGGATCTCTGATCACTTTGGAAAGTAACGGTGCTTATTTCTGTCGAGATCTCTCAAATTTAAGGTGTTTTAATTTTTCAAGCATTTCCAATCAAAATGATTAATGAAAAGTTTTTTGGAAAAGCTTATTTAAGCATATCTCAGATTGTGTCTAGTTGTTTGACTAGTTTAGATTTAAGGTGGGTTTTTTTGTATAATTTTGCTTTTTTTCACTTTGACTCAGGTTTAGTTTCCATACGGAGTGACAGTTTGGGTGAAATATTGATCAAAAAGCTCAAGGTTCTGCGGGCACATGTTTTTTTCTTCTTATGCTAAAATCCAAATGCGTTCAAATCATTTTATTCTTAAGAGTCCAATTTACAAAAAATATGTCAATTCAGTCCTAGACAAATTCAAACATAAATTAAAACAACAATCTGTCTTTTAAGAAGATAATAAAATATAATATACTATCAAGTGGACTGATTGCTGTATCATTGCACATATAACTTCTTTTTTTGTTGTTTGTTTGGGTTTTTCTAATATACACTGCCTGTTTTGTTTTTAACATATTCTATATGTCTGGTTGATTGATGCTTAGCTGCTTATCACCACCTCCCTAAAAGACTTTTTTTTCTTTTTGCCAAAAGTATTTTTTTATTTTCCCTAAATCGTGACTTGGGTCATTATTTTAGAAAGATAATGATACAGTAAATCGAAATGCATGTTAATTTTAAACTAAATGAATGAAATAAATAATCATTCATCTGTTAAACAGTAAGTAGTTTTCTTTCCATACGAATGCATTGATTATATAAAATGTTGGGGTTAATAATTCAGCAGCAAGGTGTGGTTCAGGGTCAATGGGACCAGAAAGAGGAGTTTGTTCAATCAATTAAGTCCTGACACGTTTCTTCCTTTGCTTTGCCACAGATTAGAGCCTGAACAGCCTCAGTAACCATGGGAGACTGGGGTTTTTTGTCCACTTTGCTGGAGCGAGTCCAGTCCCACTCCACTGCGATCGGGAAGATCTGGATGAGCGTCCTCTTCCTGTTTCGGATCATGGTGCTAGGCGCGGGCGCCGAGAGCGTCTGGGGCGACGAGCAGTCAGACTTCATCTGCAACACCCAGCAGCCCGGTTGTGAGAACGTCTGCTATGACAAGAAATTCCCCATTTCACACATCCGCTTCTGGGTCCTGCAGATCCTCTTCGTGTCCACGCCGACGCTCATCTACCTGGGCCACGCCATGCACGTCATCCAGCAGGAGAACAAGCTGAGGGAGGCGCTGGCGAGTCCGGATGGGCCACGGAAATTCAAGCAGCCCAAATACAGCGACGAGAAGGGGCACGTAAAGATCAAGGGGAACCTCCTGGGCAGCTACCTGACCCAGCTCGTTTTCAAGATTATCATCGAGGCCGGCTTCATTGTGGCACAGTACTACCTGTACGGCTTCGTCATGGAGCCCATGTTCGCCTGCCAGAAGAAACCGTGTCCCTTCACCGTGGAGTGCTACATGTCCCGGCCCACTGAGAAGACCATCTTCATCATCTTCATGCTGGTGGCGGCCTGCGTCTCCCTCCTCCTAAACGTCATCGAGTTTTTCTACCTGACGGCCACAAGGTGCAAGTCCAAGCGCCGCAACCAAAGGGTCACGTCAGCGGAGAACCCCGCCAGCCTCTCGGGTCCCAGGTGGCCGACAACGGAGGACACGATGAGGCAGAACAAGATGAACATGGAGATGGAGAACCACAGCGTGGGAGGAAGCCTGGACGGAGCCAAAGAGGAGAAACGACTCCTGGCCGGACATTAACTTCCCAAGATTGGCTTGTTTTCAATACCTTCAAGAGACTTGAACCAGTGTGTTTGTTCAAAGAAAGTTATTATGCGATTATTATTGTATACTAAAAAAAAATCACCATAAATATCCATCAGGAAGAGTCACAATAGCTGTGTTTCCATTACAAATAAGCACAAAGCTTTGTCGATATTAATAAGTAATTAAAAAACATGGTGCTCCATTATCAACCTACCACTTCCTGTTGTCTTCTTCATTGTTTCTGGCAGTAGTAACATCTAGTTGTTGATCACATGACTTCTGTCATGCAAAAAAAGTGTTTCCAATACAGTTTTGCTAAACACAATATTTTTGAAAATGACAAATTTATTTTTGTAATTCCAATTCACTCAATCATACGGTCAATGGAAATGCAGCTATTGATGAATTTTTCTTCTTGTTTTGACTTGAAATCTACAAATAAAAGTGTGCAACACTGATTTTATTTATACTTGTGACTGAAAGAGTGAGAAGTTTGTTTAATGTGTTCTTTGTGTGTTTGTGACAGAGATCTGTTCCAGTAAAATATACTTCCTATGATTACGATGATTGTAACAGACATTTTTGTATGGCTTTATCTCTTTCTAATAAATGATTGAAACATAACAAGGTTGTTGTTTTTTAACGACAGAAAATAAAGTACGAAATAAAATTCTGAAGAATCAGAATAGTTGATCTGTAAAATACTTCACTTACTTATTAGTGTGTTATTTATTCATACTATATCAACATATTAGCTTTTTCTTGCTCTCTGATAATAATAATACTAAACATTTCCTGATTTAGCATGTTTGTAGCAGTTGCTATGGCTTGGGTCAAATGTTTTTGATGCTTTTGAGATCAGATTTTTGTGACGACCTCATAAACATCGACTTTGTTTTCTTTAAATGCCTTTTTAAATAATTTTGCAATATGCTAAGACTTTCTGTCTTGAGATTTAGTTGGCCCACATGATGTTTTTTCATTGTGACGTCATCCATTACATGATGTGGACCAATCCCTCCTACAACAAGACACCCACAACATGATGCTGCCACCTCCATACTTTCTAATTGTGGCTTTTCTGTAAAATGTAACGATGGTCATTATGGCGAAATTAAGTGATATATCCTTAAAAATGAATGTCTTCAAACTGTATTCTGGCTTTTGATGCTGCTTTATGAGTTATGGCCTCTTCCTTCCTGTTTAAGCACAAAACGTATTTCTTTATAAAAATTAAAACTCTTATCAAAGTATTTTCAGATCTGAGATTTGCTCCTAATTGACTAAAATCTTGTGAATTCTGGCTGTTATATAAAAACATTGTTTCTTTAGTCAGAGGCTTCTTCAAATTTGATGTAATACTGATTTGATGTAATACTGACTGCTGTAGGAAATCCTACAGCCATCAATGTCTACAATATTGCTTTGAAAAATTACAATTAATATGACTTAAAGCAATATTTAATTTCCTTTTTGGATCTATAAAGTGCTTTTGCATTGACTTGAATTAAACTTAATTAATCTGAAGTTTACAAAGTTCTAAGATAATCGTCTGAGTAATTTCAAATTTAGTGTTTGTCCACTTCTGAACATTTTATAGAAATTTAAATCTAATTACAGTTTTTACTACATCAAGTAGCAGCAGTAGTAGTAGAAAAACATAGAAAAACCCATGACAGTTTGATTTATTTTCAATAAAATTATTGCAGTCAAATTGCTATAATTTTTACTCTATAACTCAGGAGATGAAGAACATATAAAAGTGTAAAATGCCACTCTGACTGCAAATGAGACGGAGTTGATTATGTCAGTGAGACAAAGCACCTCTATAATGTTGTCATAAAACCTCCGTCTGTACTTAGTTTTTCATGTTTAATATGTTATAATGGACAATTTCTGTCAGAACAATGTGGTTTTTGCCTTTTACACCCTAACGTTGTTGTTAATTTACAAAAAAAAACTCCTAACGTTTTAGGTCTATATTCGTCCTAAAACAAAACTATTCATGTAGTTGAAGCAGAAACATGGGTTTTTTAAACTGCTGCCAATCATTAACTTTCACAATCTTGTCAGTGCTCAGCCCAAATGTATCATTTCCAGATGTCACGACAACGTGACGGCGCAAGCTGTTGTGCAACAGCATCTAATCTAAAGTTCAAGGTACCGTCCACGAGTTTGACTCGGAGCAGTGGACGCTGTCATTCAGCTTCAGTGCCGGTGGTCAGTCCGTTTGTCTCGTTGAAAACCGTTTTAAATCTAAGGTAAGGGGCAAACAGATTTTTATACTATCTTTATCATTTCCATACAAGGAAGTAGGATCAAATGTAAAACATGTTTATTTTTGGAAGGATATAGAAATATTTATCTAAGCGAAGCAGGTGTCATAACTTCAAATTAATATTTATTTATATGTAAAAAGTGTTTTAAGTATGTTTGCTTTAGTTTTTCTTTGATCAGATTCAGTTGTTCTGATTAGTTGGGGAAATGCAACTAATCAGACATTAAATAAATTTAAGATGAATGTAGCAGTAAATGAAAACATCAAACACTTTTGATGCCAAATGTGATTAAATATTTTTTCATAATCAGTTCAGTGAGATTATATTACAGATAAAGCTGATATATTTTTGTATAATTTTATCAAATAAATACTTCATAGATAAAACATAATGCATTATTCTTTGTTATAAAGTTTTGAAAACTGTTTTTCCTCTGTTTGTTTGCTTAATTTTTGACTGAAATAACAAATAAATGAGATTTGATTATTTCTGATTTTACAAACTGGCGTGTGAATTGTGTGCAGAAGCCATGGGAGAGTGGGGATTCCTGTCCACTCTGCTGAATAAGGTGCAGACTCACTCCACTGTAGTGGGAAAAGTCTGGCTTAGCGTGCTTTTCATCTTCAGGATCATGGTGCTTGGAGCCGGCGCCGAGAAGGTCAGACTATGATATTTAAGCTTATGATTTTGTAAATATTATCTCATTTTTCCACCCATTTTTTGTGTGTAAACTATAATGTATCTATGACAGTAACTCGTACATCATTTAAGTACGTAAATGGCTCTCTCTGGTGGCTAATTGTATATATATATTGTAAAGCTAACTTATAGCTAATGTCACATTTACAACAGATGTGTGAACAATATAAATCATTAAATTGAAGCTTATTGTAATCATCTTTCCTTATGAGCTTAAAATTTTACTCATTAATGATTTATTTTATTCTAAAAGCAATGATTCAAACATCTTTCATAGTTTGTCATACTCTTCCACCTCTGATAACAAAAATAATGTAATCTAGTTTTAACGTTGCAGGTTTGGGGTGATGAACAGTCCAAAATGGTTTGCAACACCAAGCAACCCGGTTGTAAGAACGTCTGCTATGACCACGCCTTCCCCATCTCGCACATTCGGTTCTGGGTTCTCCAGATCATCTTCGTCTCCACGCCAACCCTGATCTACCTCGGCCACGTCATCCATATCATCCACAAAGAGAAAAAGCTGAGAGAATACATGGACGCTAACCCCAGCCGGGGGATTGTGAAGGGACCAAAGTACTCTGACGAAAAGGGGAAAGTCCATCTCAAGGGCAACCTGCTGGGAAACTACATAACCTCCATCTTCTTCAGAATCCTCCTGGAAATAGGTTTCATAGTGGGGCAGTACTACCTGTATGGGTTCGTCATGGAGCCGCAGATCGTCTGCTCCCGAGCGCCGTGTCCCTTCACCGTCGAGTGCTTCATGTCCCGGCCCACAGAGAAAACCGTCTTCATCATCTTCATGCTGGTCATGTCCTGCATCTCGGTGGTGCTCAACGTGGTGGAGATCTTCTACCTGATATGCACTAGGTCGTCCAGGCGGAAGTCCAAATCGGTGCCGACGACGGCCATTGCCATCCACCCGCGTTTCACCACCGACAGCATGATGAAGAACGAGAAGCTCGGCCGCCATGACTCCAGCACGGCTTGAGGGACGACGTTCGGTAAATCCACCGAGTCTGTTGGTGGCACGGCGGGAGAAGCGGTGACTCCACTGCAAAAGCACAAAATATTACCCGGCGTTTTTGATTTGTTTTTTAGTGCAAATATTTTAGTCCACTTGAAATAAGAAAAACCAACAAGTAGGTTTTCAGCATAAGAGCTTGTTTTATGTTGCTTTATGACTTTTTTGTTTTTATAATGTAAGCTTTGTTGCGAAATGTGCAATACAAATAAACTTGATTGATTATTTTAAGTAAATAATTCCTTAAAGCTGCAGTATGTAACTTTTATTTTTTTTATATTATTTTTACATATTTGTTGAAACTATCAAATCAAGCTCCTCTGCCTTCTCCCAGTTCTAACTAGAAACAACCAATCAGAGCAAGGAGGCAGGTTTTAGCGCTGTCAATCACCGTCACATCACCATTCAGTTGTGAATGCTAAGGCTAGTTAGCACAGCCACCAATGATGGCGGACAAACAGTTTTTTCTTTGATGGAAAGCTGTTTTTCTGCCACTACCACATGAGCACCAATGACACGAGTTGATTGACAGCACTATGACGCCCGTGCTTTCTCTGATTGGTTGTTTTTGGTCGTGTGCGGTGCATTTCTTCAGGCTGCAATAGAACTTTTAGAGCTTTAAGTATGTAAAAAATATTTTTATAAAAGTTACATGCTGCAGGTTTTGTACTGATGAAAACATTCTGGTTTCACTGGCAGATTTTTTCACTGATAGCAAAATTTTTCCGACGCTACAAGTGAAATAATCTGCCATTGTGACTGGTATGGTTTCATCAATTTTAATTAAATATTAACTTAAAATAAGATCTTATATCTTGCTGAAAAGTTGCTAGTAAGTTATTTTAAATGTTTAAGTGTACTAAGGTATTTCCACTAGAGACTACAGAAAAATACTTGGTCAGATTTTGCGTTTTTGAAGTGTACAAAGGTTAAATTTGTGACGAAGAAATGGCCCGTTTGTACGACTACAGTTACAGAATACAGTGGTGTTATTTATAAGGTATTAAATTACTAAACATATGCAAATTTGGAGTTCTTGCTTGTTCCTGTTTAATAAGTAACAAACTTAAATACCTAGTAGCTTTGATGTCAATGAGATTGTGAAGAAAAAATGGTTTATTTGGAGTTTGGTTTGTGTTTTGTACATATTTGTATCAGGATCAATTTTTAAATCTATTTGTTTGCTCTACAAGACCTGATTATACATTTTTAGTAAATTGCTTTGGTTGGCTTTCTTTTTATCAACAAGTTGTTTTTTTCTCTTTTAACATAATTGAATTTATGCAATACAAAATGTATAATTTTATAACCCACTTTGTAAAATAAAATTATATTTTCTGAAAGGTTAATTGACTTCATTTATTTTATATGGGATTATGATGCCATTTACTGGGATGCATCTGCAAAATGAAACTTTTTTCTGAATTTATAGCACAAACAGCAGATATATAAACACAACACACCATCCCAGACACCATTCATTTGCTCTTCAGGAAGTGGCTCTTTGTAACAGACCTTTCACTCAAGGCTTCATTTTTATAATTGTTGATTTTTGTTAACTATGTTGCTCATTTTGCTAATTGCTTTCACTCAGAAAGCATCCCAAACTTTAGCAGATTTTAAACTATTTACTGGAGGTAAATAGTTCTGGGTGCAGAAAGTTGCACCTCAGGACCACTGCATAAACAATCTTCACCCCCTTCAAAATAAGAGCATGACTGTAAATGTCTAATACTAGGTAACCAAAACTTCAACAGTTGAACTTTATTCAATTGAATAAAGTAAATTAGCGCTTTAGAATTTGCCAGAAAAAAACTTATTTAGCCTTAATTAAAATTAGCCCAATATAAACAGATATTTAATATTAGCAATTTGGCAGATTAGCTGTTGTGTGACGACTACTGGTACAGAACATGAAATGATTACAAGAGCAAGTAGGGCCTAAATAAAACCTTAACAAACTGTTACATGTGAGTTTTTTCTGCTCAAACTCTGCAGCTAACACTTCCCTAACTAGCCTAATTGAACACACTGAATCCCAATCACTTTCACCTCCTTTGTGTTTTTGTTCACTCGGTTCTCTTCTCTCCATGCCAGTTTGCTTATTTCTAATCTTTTCCCTCTTGTATTTTTGATTCCCTTGTATTTTTTGGCTCCTTCTGCCTTTCTTGAACTGACTGTAGCTTTTCTTTGAGCTGTGCATTTAATTCTAGCCTGCTTAGTGCTTTATTTAAAAAATAATCTGATTCTTTGGAAGAAACATATTAAGAAATAATGAATGATGATTCAAGACATTTCAGCAGTTCTTGAAATCCCCTCTATTTGCAAGAACATGAATCAGTTAACGATGATTTCACTACTTAAGTGGTGCATTACTCAAGAGTTAGTTGACATCTCACACACCAAACTGAAAAGTTACGTGTAACTTTACCAGCCAGGTCGCTGTTTTGTGTCAGCCCAATAATTATTTTAAATGTAATTTTTAGACATTTTGTTTACATTGACCCTTTCACACAAACATAACTCACCTCCATGTTTTTATCTGTCAACAATAGAAGAGTCCACATTTTTACTAATAGAAAATAAGATTTTGACTAACAAGGTTATTACTAAGGAGCAATTGGCCCAGAAATTTGGCATACAGTAGGTAACAAACAATTATAAAGGATGACGCCATCTTCTTGTACACTTTCCAAATTGTTATGTTTTAATTTCCTCTGGAAGTCACAGAACATGAAGGAACCATGGAACGAACTGCGAACCTGGTTTTGCATAGCTGGTCATCCAACTTCAGAAAACTAGGGAGGCAGTCATTGCCTTTATGACTCGAATTCAACAAAACAAGTGCACCATCATGAATGTGCACAAATCCATACTCTGATAGGGAGTCAACATCAAGATGTAGAGGGAGAAACTTCCCTTTTCCAAAACAATCACTTGTTCAATTGAGTCACAGTCGACTGATGCAACCTTAGATAGAGCTGCTTGGGGTGAATAAAAAAGTGAGAAGTTATTCATCCCTATTTATTTACCAACTTCCTAGAACCTGGTGAATTATGAATCAATTGACTAAGTGGATATTTTCATTTATGTTCTCATTGTTAACCCCTGCTGGCATTCAATGTGTCTTTTTGTTGCCATGCAATTTCAACCTAAGTCACGTCAGCATAGAAAATCAGGCTCCTCTTTCAGTCAGACGGGTGGAGCATCAACAGATGCTGCTTGTGACATTTCAAACTTTTGGAAATGTTCTGAGTTGTCTGTGTTTTATTTCTTGAAAGTTTCTTTACTTTTTCTAGCACAATTTTGACTTTTAAAAGTCAGAAACTTTTTTTTTGTTGGTCTTGTTTTTTAAAAATATGTTTATTTGAGTTTAGTTGGTAGGGAAAGACACACATCGACATAGACAAACTGAACAAAACAGCAGTCCAATGTTTGCGTCATAGTGCAATAGCAACAGCTAATTTGCAGCACTTGTCCTTTTAAAAAGTACCTCTAAAAATTGCAGCGATACTCATTTAAAATATATATACACAATAGCCCTACTATGGCCTCGTAGGTTACAGGTTTACCAATACAGGATGTCAAGCCAAATGGAATGCTCCTTTTTTCTATTTTGTTCCAGTACATTAAAATCACCACTAGATGGCGGCAATAACTCGCACAACGTGATTGTCCCGCCTCTTCGTCCCAGTTTCCGTTTCCTCCCAAAAAACAACAACAGCTGTTAGTGGTTAAAGATGGCCGCCGCTACCATGGCGGGGCTCGACGCCCATAGGATGGAGAAGAAGAAGTTCGAGTACTTTTCCTCCATCAACTCTATGGCCAAGAAGATCATGCAGGAGCGGGAGAAAATCAAAGCCGATTACGGCTCGTCCTGGGAGAAAATGAGCCCACAAGAGCAGGACAACGCCATTGATGACAACATGATGGACCCTCATATCAGAGCCAGATACGCCATGCATAAAGTGGACCGAGAGGAGGTGGTTTGTTACCCCAGACTGCTCCTCCAGACGGGCCAGAAGATAGTCCACTTCGGTGAAGAGGTATTTAACATCATTTCAGTTTGTATTTGAAGGTTTTTATGGTTTCGTTGGTGTGGCTGCTAACAATAGCCACGTAGACGTAAAGTACTCCTTTTGACGTCACAATAGATGTTTTCACGTAACGCCTCAAAGAATGAATAATAGCATAAATATGTAGTGCTTTGATTATTATGTAATCTAATTATTTATTCGTTTTGTAAGAAATAAATCATTAATATATTGTTACATTTTTTAAATAGTTTGTTCCCATTTAAAACCGGCAGATGAAACGTATAAACAGGGCCGGATTTACAATGATGCGGGCCCTGGGCTGTAAACCATTTGGTGCCTGACACACTACAGAAAATTTATTTTTGTGAACGCAAATTACAGTACATTAAATAAAAACACCATAATATCAGTATCCAGATTTTCCTAAACGGAATGTGATGTTTTGGGTAGAAGCTTTGTAAATAGCTTATAAAAGTAAGGTAAAATGGCTGAATATTACTTGAACTATGACCCCAAATCCCAGAGGAGTTGGGAGGAAGATAGGAGTTGCAACATCTAATTTTTCCGTGATAATTAATAAATTGAATTTTGTGGTGACTCAACCAAATATTAACATGGGAGGCATGTTTGCAGCAGGTTTCTGCTAACGAAGCGTCTAAACGTATAATTATGACCAAAGTTGTTTTGGAGACGCAGCACTGATTCATCCGCTCTGTCAGTGATTTTGTTCTTTTTCTTAAGTGTGAGTCATTCATATGTTTATGTAACAGTTGGAAGGAAAAAAATAAAGTTTTTATTCACAAGTAATTCAGCTAAGTAAGTTTTACCAATGTCAGAATATTTAGCTCCAATTCAATCCAATTGTATATTCCCATTATGCTATGTAGTTCTAATTATACAACCCAGTAGAAAAATTATGTTGATCTTCTATTGCCTAGGGCTGAAACTTACTATTATTTTAGCTATTGGTTATTCTGGCAATTTTGATTAATCTTTTTTTTAAATTGACACATTCTGCAGATTTTTCATTTAACCACTTGAACCTTTTATATACAATATTAAGAAATACTTTAAAAGATGCAAATAAACAACTAAATTCCCTTTTAAAGGAGAAAATAAACCTGTTACTGCCTAAAATGTAAAAAGATAGCATTACGTTACTGAGTTTTAACTGGGTGAAGTTAAAACTGGGTGAAACATATTTACAGACAAAGGTGTTTTTATCTTAAATGCAAAATGTATTTATATATTTTTTATACTCTTGGCTCAATTATTGCTCTGTTTGTGTTGTTGTTCTGCAAATGTCCCTTTTTTTAGTCTGTTTACTCCAGTTAACAATTACCCGATTACTAAACAAGTTAATTATTTTATCGATAACATAATGAATCTGATTAATCGTTTGAGCTCTAATATTGCCGATTGGTAAAACCCTTTTTCTATTCTTCATAGGACATTACATGGCAGGATGAGCACTCTGCCCCTTTCTCATGGGAGACTAAGGTAAAACCTGATTAGCTGGAAGCAGCAATCTGTGCATACATGTTCCTGCATCTACGAAAGTGTTTAAAATCTGATGTGTTTCAGAGTCAGATGGAGTTCAGTTTGACGTCAGGCTCTGCAGATCAGGTGACCTCTGCCTCACAAGCCGACTCCAAAAGTGCAAAAGCTCCTCTTTCCAATCAGCTTGGGAAGAGTACAGCAGGAGCCAAGGTACGGATCACACTGCAAAAACTCAAAGTCCTTCCAAGTATTTTTGTTTACTATTTAGTGGAGATATCTTGGTAGATTTGAAATAGGGCAAACGAACTCGCAAGTAACTTTTCAGTTAGATTTAGGAGCTTGTTTTATTATTATTTTAATAATAAATAATATACAAGTGTGATCTGCGTAGGTTTCTGTCAGTGAGGGCCGAAGGCCGGAGGAGGAGTCGTCCTTCTGGAAGATCAGCGCTGAGAGGTCACGGCTAGAAGGGGAGAAGGCTGATTTCCAGTCCCTGACGCCGAGTCAGATCAAATCTCTGGAGAAAGGAGAGAAGCCTCTCCCCTCCTACCTCAGACAGGTAAACTCTAATTGCATTTAAAAAAGAAAATAAACTTGCTGAATAAATACACCGCAATTTTGAATGAACAAGTTTTCTAATGAATGTTTTTGCGCCAAGATGTGGTGGCTTTTCGTCTGAGTTGAAAGATGTATTTCGCAAAACATTTTTTTTCATCTCACACGAGTTGTGATGAACAGTCGGCTGAACTATGAATGAAATCACATGTACCTGTTTACATGCATCATCGCCATGATTTTTGATGACTGATGTG